GTATTTTCATTGATTTTACGACGTTCATATATCGAAGCATTTTTAGATAAATTGTATTTCTTTGAAACTTGGAATACAGGAAAATGGTCGGAGATGTCATTCACAAATAGGCCAGATGAAATGTCAGAATTGAAATTGTTTGTAATAATATTGTCAATTAAAGAAAACGATGACTGAGTTATCCTAGACGGTTTATCTATTAGAGGCAAGAAACTATATGCATAGATTATACTAAGAAATTGATTTACAGAATTACAATTAGAATACTTCATCAAGTCAATATTAAAGTCACCCATTATATATGCATGCTTACATTCTAAATCGATTTTCTTCAAGCAATCTTCAAAGTTACAATTAAAATCAATAATATTTGATGAGGGTTTTCTGTAAACAATACCCACAATAATATTCTTTCTTTGTGATAGCATTATTTCAATAAAAAGTGATTCATAATTTTGTGATTGTTCTAATAAATCTGTCCGAACTACATAATTCAATGAATGAGAAATCAAGAGAGCTACTCCTCCACCTTTCCCAAGATTCCGATCAGAATGAACGAATGCATAACCATTCATATCAAACAATAAAGGGGTACTGTTATTAATCCAGGTTTCTGAAAATCCATAGATAGAAAAGTTGAACGACAATGTAGATACAAATTCAGATATCGCATCGAAGTTTTTGTTCAAGCTACGAGAGTTAAAGTGCAGTAAGCTAAAGCTATTATTTACATTTTTAAAACTGTCTATAAATCGATCATCTAAATAGTATTTGCAATTAAAATCAAATTCCAATTCAAAATCAGAATCACTATTCGAATTAAATTTTTTATACAAATTATTCAAATCTTGAGTTCCGAGCGATTGAGTATTGGCGCTGTCAACATACATATCAATCAATTCAGTATCGTCGATATCATTGAAAGGAAAAATAGAATGGAAGCATCGTGGACATTGACATTGACATACATGTATATCATGTAAATCATCTATAGAAGTATGACGATCATCATGATAGTTTCTGCAATGGGAACAAGTGAATGAGTCTGTGTTTATCGCAAGATTACAATCTGCACAAAACATCACAAGCAACTAATAATTAACATCAAACATCAAACTTAAAATAAAACTTAAGCTACAACAGTATCCTCAACAGCTAAGAGGAAGAACAACGAAAAAATTACAAAAAATTACAAAAATTACAAAAAATTACAAAATTTACACACAACCAAGGAATTATAAAAAGGTCTTTATAAAAAAGATTAAAATATTTTACTTAAGTTAATAAAAAGTAAAGTCTCATTGACAAAGACAAAGACTAGGATACATTATATTCATACAACTATGTACACAATAACAAATATAAATCAGTATAAATCAGTATGAAAAATACTTGTCATTTGTTATAAGATACTAAAGCAAATCGTTACGCTTATCGATAGGATAATGTGAAGTACGTGTCAAATAATGAAATCATTACGTGCTATTTTTAACCGGACTAGACATTTAAAATTTATAAAACATGTGTACACTATTACCAGCAAGCAAGCTTTTCAACAAAGAATTCAGAAATTGAACAACATTGCATAGCTTAGTGAGGACAGATTAGAAGATGCTTTCAAGCATGCCATACACTCTTAGTTAGACTGTAACAGTTAGCTTCTAAAGTATTGCATATAAATATAAATTTAAAGGAGGTCAATGATCATAATGAAAACACCACTTTCGTAAGGTTGACATATCAAAAGTCTTTGAATGAATCCAAGTCTCCCGCCACCTGAAAATCGGCGATTGTGATTCCTGTACCGAAAAAAACATGCGTCTAAGCTGAATGATTATCGACCAATCGCCTGATTTGAGAGACTCCTGGTGCAGTTTCTCTCCCCATCAGTATCCCATCTTCTCGGCAAACTTCAATTCGCATATCAACCTAAGAAGTCCATTAATGACGCCGTCATAACACTGATTCAAGAAATCGCACAACAGACCAAACTTGGATGCTATCAAAGAGTCATGTTCGCAGATTTGTCATTAGCATGTAATACTATGCAGACCCATATTCTCTTGCAAAGGTTACTTAGGATGAACGTACCATCTTCTTTAATTTTGTGGATAAAGAATTTCTTACGGACAGGACTTAGGACTTAGGGGGCGGTAGCAATCACTTACAGAGTGCGCTAAGCGCTCCCTAGGGAACGGGTGAAGGAAGGGGGAGGCGCGGAAGATTTGATGTTTCATTAAGATGATTCTTGTACCGTTCTTGACTCTTAATCCTTGTCTGAATTTTAAAAAGTGTTTCTATGTCTGTTTCTTTTTCTTCCTACGTCCTCTTACTTTTTTTCTGTTCTCTCTCTCTCTCTTTTTATGCTCTTCTTTCTCTTTCTTTTTTCTCCCTCTTCTTTCTCTCTTTTTTTGTCGGCCGGCGTTTTTGGGGGCATGTCGCGCGTGAGTGCAAGGGGTTTGATCTGATTCAATATCTATCAATACCGGTGGCCCTCAAGGATGTGTACTTTCTGCTCTTTCATATATTTTGTATACTAATGATTGCATGTCTAGTAATGACGATGTTCACTTTTTCAAATATGCAGATGACACCTGCAATTTTGGGGATGATCATAGATGAAGAAAATAACTATCGTTCAAATAAAGAGCAGTTTGTTAAATGGTTTGATGATAATTACCTTCAATTTAATCAGTCCAAAACGAAGTTAATCCATTGTCGAGAGTATTTTTCTTTTCAATTGTGTTGTTTGGTTTGGGGCATTTAGGAAGGATGACTTTAGGAAAATGGAAGGTGTAGTTAAGAGGGCGAGGAAAATAACAGGGAAAAGCAAAACAAAAGAATGCAAGGCACGAATCCTCCAAAAAGCTAAACAGATCATTGCAAATAAGAATCACAATGTAAATTACTTATATGAATTATTACGGTAAGGAAGGAGAATGCGCTCATTAAAATGTCGGACAGGCCGATATTTGGGCTCATTATGTTCCATACTCCGTTCGTTTGTACAATCAAATGGAACGAAGAGCATGTGGGCCGAAGTATCGGCTTGGTGTGGTTTTCCTTCCCTCCTTCCTTCACTCCTTCACACTGATGTTCTATCCTTTTCATCATTTTCAATGTATAATACTAGAATATATGAATATTTCTATATTGTCTATGTTTTATAAACACAACGATATAATTACTCAAATATATATTTCGTGTTTGTACAATGTGTGACCTAATTGTTTTCTCCATGTACTCTTGTGAATTTTGATGAATAATTTTTTTGAATTGATCAGAATTGAATTGAATATATATTGTGTACACATGTAAGAATTTGAAAATACTTTGTATTTGGGGAGAGGGGGTGGGGGGGGGCAATTCAGAGAAGAGACCGATATGTAAACATTTGGGTACTGGCCCATGGACTGTGACCTAAAATTGAGGTTTACTGATAGGTCGCTTCACAAATAGGGCATACATAGTACTTTTTTGTGGATACTTTTTTTGAGCAAAACACAAAGTAGGTGGAGCCAACGTCCACACACGTGACATTGCACCCATGGATTTTTTTTTCACACGACAGCATGTCACAAAACCAAGGGCCCTAAGGCGGGCCCCTGGAAGCTCATCTGACCATTATTAAATATTAAAACCTCTGAGCTTCTGGGGGCTCCCCCCTTGGAACACGTCAATTGCCTTACAGAGGGCCCCTGGATGCTCATCTAACCGTAATTAAATACCTAAAACTCCTGAGCTTCCGGGGGCTCAGCCCCTTAACCCCCTGCCGAGGCTCATGCCCTGGGCCCCACGCCAATTTACGCTCTACCTGATCGATAATACTCCACTTTGAAAAACCTTCCGCGGGACCTGCATGTAACGTGTAAGACTGGTGGTGATGCAGATTTTTTGTCTGCCCCCCCCCCCTTCCGAACTTTTTTCTCATTACGTCACTGCCCCTGGAATGTGAGCCCCCTGGAATGTTTGCCCCCCAGTCCCAAACTGCTTCCGGCGCGCCTGTTTACTTGTACATTATTCTCTGCCGGGAATGTTGAATCATTGAAATAAAATTCAATCTGTTTATTGGATCTGTGTTTTTACTTTGACTCTTGAGTATCACAATATGGCTGTCTTTTCTAACTTCTATGGTGCTCCATACTTATTTGCCCACCTTTTCCAACCCGCTCCCACCCCCTTCTCGCACCCTCTCTCTCTAAATTTATTTAATGTGAGCCTGTTTTTAGTAACGCGATCGCAAATATTTTCGAAAAATCAACTCAACTGTTATTTCAATACTCTTGTGTATATCCCATTTAAAAATTATGTTCGAAATATTTAATATTTCACTGTAATGTTCACATATTCAATAAATGATGAACAAGGCTTTTGGAGTTGCGTTAGGACTCCCCCCCCCCCCCCCCCACACACAAACAGAGGTATCCAAATACAATGTATTCATTATACGGTAATCGTTTACTATTTGAAATGCATGGTCATTTTTAATGGTTAGGAAACCTTAACTGATCTTATTAAGATTGATTAATATTGTCCATAAAGACCTTCTCATATTTTATCATACTACAGATACAAACCAATTATTGTGCACTACCATCTCTGATCTTTGACCCCCTTTGCGATTACAAGATGGGTTTATCAACCTGGTTATCCGATAATTATTGACTCGTCAATGTCGTCATACTTAAACGCGATAATAAGTTATCTTTGATCTTATACCGTAGCACACAATTGTATAACGGTTCTCAAGACAGACATTCATTTGTTTGTTTGTTCGATCGATTGTTTCAGACGGCAGAGAGCTCTGAACAATTCCGAGTTTTTAATTGATCGAGAGAACTTTTACAGGCAAGACGCATTTAAATTTAAGCTATGGCTATCATAGCTGATGTCTGAAGCGGAACAAAATCGTTGCCTTCCCGGGAAACCACGGTCCCAGGATCAGTCCTACTTATAGAAGTTATCACATTAAAAATCGATCCATTTAATGCTCTGAATCAATGAGGCAGTGAGTCTGTGGAATCAAGAAAGACACACACCAGAAAGAGCCGGAGAGTCTACAGATTCAGTGAGATTATGAAGCTGAAACTGGAACTTGATATCACATAAATTATTGGCTCGCTAAAGTGAGAATTTCCGTTTTAGAGATGAGCGGCTTCCTGGAAGACCTCACTAAAAGTCACAAGGAGAAATTGAAAAAGGTATAGTTTGTTTTCTTCTTTTAATTATAGATTTCTTGCATTTGTATTTGTATCATTAAGCCTTGAAATTGATGCTGAACAAATCTATGTCAGTTAGATGTGATAAAATGGCAAATGCATTAAAAGAGAAGAATAGCAGAAATTTTTGGAAAGAGGTGAAGAAACATTCAAAAAAGCCTAAGGGTTACCCAAACAGAGTGGATGGTGTTCAGGGGGAAGAAAATATAGAGTTGTTTGCATTGAAATTTGGAAGGATATATCAAAGTATTGGATATGATGAAGGAAATATGGAAACGTTATTGAATCACATAAACTCCACTACACAGGAGAAATGTGAATGTAATGAGTGTTTACAGAATGACCATGTTATAGGAGGAGATGAAGTATCTAGAGCAATACTTAGGTTAAATCATTCCAAAAGTGATGGTGTAACAGGTGTGATGTCTGATCATATTATACATGGAAAGAAAATAATCAGTGGATATTTAGCAATGCTTTTTACTGCCATGTTATGGCATGGAGTGTCGCCAGATGGTATGCTCAAAAGTACAATGGTACCAATACCTAAAGGTCGTTGGAAAAATTTGGGCGATTCAGGAAACTTTCGTGCAATAACACTTGGTAGTATCATTGGTAAAGTTTTGGATTATGTATTTATGAAAAGGGAAGAAGGGAACTTGCAGACTAATGACCTACAGTTTGGATTCAAAGCAGGGTTATCAACTACACTATGTACTGCTATGGTTAAAGAAACTGTATCGTACTTTAATCATGAAGGGAGTAATGTGTATGGATTATTGCTAGATGCTAGTAAAGCATTTGATAGAGTTAATTATGTGAAATTGTTTGACATTATGCTGAGCAAAGGGGTCTGCCCAATGATATGCAGGCTATTGCTTAATATGTATAAGAATCAAAGGCTAAGGTTGAAATGGAACAATGCATATTCTGATTATTTTACAGTTAAAAATGGTGTTAAACAGGGTGGAGTTATCTCTCCTTGCATGTTCTGTTTGTATCTAGATGGGCTGATAGAAGAGTTATGTGACAATGGGATAGGGTGCTTTATGGGCAATGTTTTTGCAGGAGCATTTGGTTATGCAGATGACTTGACACTGCTGTCACCTAGCGTGACTGCTCTTCAAGAAATGATTAAAACTTGTTTAGATTATGCCATTAAATTTGATATTCTGTTTAACCCTGAAAAGAGTCAGTTAATAGTTTTCAGCTGTAATGGTAAACCAGTTATGGATCCAGGAATCACGATAAATGGAAGACATATTGATATTGCATCAAAAGTAACTCATCTAGGGAATGATATTTCTAAGAATATAAATGATTTTGATATCTCAAAGTGTGTTGGAGATTTCAATCGACAATGTAATATGTTTTTGTTTAATTTCAAATATGCTAACTCTCACATAAGAAATATATTGTTTCATAAATATTGTTCGAGTTTCTATGGCTCACAGTTATATCCTCTGTTTGATAAATGTTTTGATAATATTTGTAGACAATGGCGGGTTGCAATAAGAAGGGTTTGGAAAATTCCATGGCAGACACACTGTCATCTTTTGCCTTATTTAGCAGGTGTTATGGATCCAGAGTTATGGTTTGCAAAAAGATGTTTATCTTTTGTTGTGAAAGCTATGAATTCCAAAAATTATACAGTGGCACATATAGCTGGAATGGCCAGGTATGGAGCTCATTCTGTGTTGGGAGGTTACATAAGATTCTTGAATGATAAGTACTTCATGGATAACAATGAAATTCAAAAGCAGTGGGCTGTGCAATGCCAAGTGAATGATGAGACAATACGCATAGTTGAACAAGTAAAGGAATTGATCAACTCGAGGGATGATTATTTATGTAAGGGTTTCCTTAACCGAGAGGAGTGCGAGGAAATTATCTTGTATTTATGCACACTCTGATCTTACCCTGTTATACATGTATTCTGTTGTTGATGTTGTTTTTTTTTGTCTTTACATATATTGTGAATGTGCCTACTTGTAGAATATATTGTATATTTTTTGTTATTTTTTTATATGTGCTTTTTAAAGCGAATAAAGAACTCTTGAATTGAATTTCTATTCGAGTTTCATTTGACGAATTTTTTCATATACTAAAGTGCCTTTCTTTGTCATATTGTTGATTTACAGGTGAATCATTGTTTGCCTGATCTGGTAACACTGCCCGTAACAATCGCTAATTAATTGCCATTTTATAATTGTCATGGTAATTAATACAAGTGGCATGTTGAAGGTCTAACTACTGATTACATTTAGATAGATAGATAGATAGCGTGTCGCACAATTTATTAGAACGAAAGTTAAAAATGTATGGTATTCAAAATTCAAATTTAAAATGGATCATGAATTTTTTGAAAAATCGTTCACAACGAGTCGTCCTCAATGGTGAATACTCTAATTGGGTAGACGTAAAATCAGGTGTACCACAAGGGACAATTTTAGGTCCAATCATATTTTTATGTTTCATAAACGACATTTCCTATAATATTGATTCAACTATAAGACTTTACGCAGATGATTGTATTTTATATAGGCCTATCTACTCTATTGAAGATTGCAAACTTTTACAAAAGGATTTAGAAAATTTAGATAAGTGGGCAAATTCATGGCTACTTGATTTCAATGTAAACAAATGTAAGATAATGCAAATGTCAAGAAAGTCCTCTAAACCACAGTATGAATATAAATTGGGTGGACATAAATTAATTAACACTAAGTCAGAAAAGTATTTGGGCATTACTATAAATGATACCCTTAATTGTAATTCTCATTGTAACGAAACATACGCAAAGTGTAGTAAGATTGTAGCTATAATCAAAAGAAATTTTCTTAATTGCCCACGTTCTGTGTTTAAAACCTTATATGACTCTCTTATACGTCCATGTCTAGAATATTGTTGTATTGCATGGGACCCCTATAGAGTTTCACATATAAATATTATTGAACGTGTCCAAAAACGATATTTAAGAATGATGTTTAGAGACTGGGAAACAAGTTACCATGAACTATTAGAAAAATCAAGTTTTGCAAAATTAGAAAAAAGACGCAAGTACCACAGATTAGTCATGTTTTATAAAATAATAAATAATATGGTAAATGTTGGTCCGATTGAAAAAATTATACGTGCTCACAGAATTGGGCGTAATGATCATAATATGAAAATGTACGTACCATTTGCAAAAACAGATTATTTCAAAAACTCTTTTTATATAAGAACTGCCAATGAGTGGAACATGCTCCCAAGTAATGTTATTAATAGTCCATCTCTTTCAACTTTCAAAATATCATTAAAAAGTTGCTTACATATTTAACTTTTTAAACTCCGCAATAACAATTTGTTTTTACATTTTTATACAATTACATCCAAATTCGCGCAATATCAACTATATTTTAATTTTTACCTTAGATCATGCTGCAAAATTTTTTATATAGCATTTTGATCCCTGAAATACCCAATCATTTGTATATTCAATAATGCTGTTTTGCAATCAATAATATTTTATGTATTTATTTTCGCTCTAAACTACATTGTGTATATAATTATTTGATGTATTATCGTGTTTGATATCATTTTTTTGTTGTAACTATGTTATGCAATAATAATATTTGTGAACTTTGCTTTTTATCAGGGATGCAGACTTGTACGGGTTTTTCAAACCCTTTTCTGCATCCCTAGACATGCTTGTCTGAATAAATACAATACAATACAATACAATAAATGGTTTATTCAAATCAAATCAAACATGTAAACAATAAATGTTCATTAATTCCATGCTTCGTAGCTAAAAACTAAATTGCGCAATGGATTACAGAATTAATTATTACAAGGTAAAATTGCACTTACTAATAATAAACTACTATAGATAATAATGCAACTCTTGGCACCGGCGTCGAACCGCTGCGCCACCCCAGTCACCAGTGGGGCACGAAACAGTAAGATCATATACCCCCCTGATGAATAGCAGGACGCAACGGATCAACACCCATGCATACAATATACAGCACAATTCACAGTGAAATAATGAATACAAAAGGACAGGTATGGCGGAGGAGAAAAAGAAAGGGGGAGGGAGTATAAGAAAATGATAACTTTTACATGATTAAAACATTACATACTTAACAAGAAATACATGCGTAATACTGTACATGGCAATTAACTGGTTTAGAACATTTCAACTCTGAAAATAGTAGTGTTGCATGTGGAATCTGACATGTGTGTTTTACAAGTGATTTATATGCTTGCCTGATTTGGTGTCACGTCGAGTATCAATCTTTGTTTTGTCAGTGTCATTTTTAAATTACTATTCATTAATTTATAAGCTTTTGTGCTTTTAGAGCAAATTACCTATACACTCGGCAGTTTTAAAAAAAACAGTGTAAAAACAACAACAACAACAAAAACGTCTTAGTGCAATAAAAACAAAAGCATAATAATTTTCTGAAATGTTGATTATCTTAGCATTCATACAGTATGGTATATGTACAATTGTCTTTTTTTTCTTCTTTTGCATGCATTCATTTAAATTAGTTCAAGGAAAATGTTGCCGATATCTTGAAACCAGAGCATAATGATGTATTATTACTGCGATTCTTACGGGGTAAGTCGAAACGATCATTTATTTTTCTGAAATTAGTATTAATACGATCGCAAATATTTTGGAAAAATCAACCTAAGGCGATTTCAATAGGCTTGTGCGTTATTTATTGAAATGTCCAAACATGGTACGAACATGATGACTACTATGCACATGATTCTGGTTTTGTTTATTGTATACATTTATTGGCGTATCCGGGGAGAGGGCACTGCCACAATGGTTGGCAAAATCGACAGCATTTTGAGCCACAAAGGGTACGTAACATTTTCATTATCCCCCTCTTTGTGTATATATCGCGGACGTGCGTGTCCCCTCCCCCTGATCTTCTACAAAGTTTGCTAAACACTGTTCGATTCATGAACTTGTGTAAAAATATTTTTCTGGTCTTTTTCTTCTCTTTTCTTCTTTCAGCAAGGAAATTTGACCTTAATAAGACCGAGGTGATGTTCAGAAACGTAAGTTAATTGGCCTGACTTCATGCCAGATAGTCCAAAGTTGTGTGCACAGTAAGATATTAAAGATAAAGATCATGATATATATTTCTCATTAAGAAAAAAATTATAGTCAATTGACTCAACTTGTGTTAGGTTAAATTTCGTGTGAAAGTGCGTGTCGGTACGTTTAATTTTCAAGCGCGTGAAAAGTTTTAATTTTTTGTTGTTGTAATGGATTAAACACATTCAAACAGTTCAGTTTAAATGAAATTAAAAGTTGAAAGTGCTTGAATCTTAGCACACTTCCATTCCAGTAGGCCTATAATCGTTTAATTTTTAATTGAATACATATAAATATTGTCAACATAATTGTGAAATATATTCTTTGCAATTTTTCCATTAGATTAAAAAGTGTATTCTTAAGTAAGATATTTAAATACAATACCTTCGTTATTTCCCCTCCCCCTCCCGATTCAAGAGAATTCTTGATCCATTACTGAATTTCTACGTATCTTTAAATTTCCATGTTTTTTTCGTTTTTGATGAAACTTATTTTGTTCGATTATTCAAATCATTTAGGATGTTACTTGGAGAAAAGAGAACAACATCGACACCATTTTGGAAACGTTCGAGGTCCCTGAGGTAAATCTTTGCTGTCATGTTTCTTCTGATATTTAACAATTTGACTACTATATGGATATAAGCTTACAGCCACATATAGGAACATATGTAACCCTACATGTGTATCAACAGGACATCTATGTATAACCCTACATGGTGCATTAACCGGACTACATAACAAAAAACTAGTATATTAACCCTAACCCTATCCCAAACCCTAACCCTAACCCTATAACTAATTAACTAATGGCTAATGATTAAACCTTTTTTCGTGGCAGGCCTTTATTAAAGTTCTTCTGCCTGCAAACGTACGTAGAGGCCAGTAATTCTTTTGTTCATACGTTAACAGGACATGACAAGTTCTGCGAATAACCATGTCTACTTAATGACTCATTTTGTCACTAGATATGTCCGTCTAATGACGCCATACGGTGTATATATATTTATATATATATATATATATATATATATATATATATATATATAAATCGTACTTAAGACGTCATTAGACGGACAACAACAAAAAGACGTGAAAAAATGAGTCAATAAGCAGACATGGTCTTTATTAACAGCACAATTTCGTGTCCCTTTTACGATTGCACAAAAGAATTATTGCCCTCTAATTACGTTTGCAGGCAGAGACAAATTTAAGGTCTCCCAAGAAATAAAAGGTTTAATCATTAGTCATTAGTTAAATTAGTTATATTGTTTTGAATTTAGGGTTAGGGTTATAAATATACCAGTTTTTATGATGCCCGGTTAATGTACCACGTGCGGTTAATACACTAAGTTGGTCCATGGTATATCTCTCTCTATATAATTATATATGTATGTATTTTCTATATTTTTATTCTCGCCTCATTTAAATTATTACAACAATTTAAAGAAAATGAACGTGTCATCTTTGAATTTGCTTTTATTTTCCCTCTTTTCCTTAAGGCCTTGAAAACATACTGGTGTGGAGGAGTATCTGGATTGGACAAAGAGGGTCATGGTGTTTATATATCACCAATGGGTAACTTCGATCCTAAAGGTATTCATTGTAAAATGAGAATGTGTGGAATATGTCAAACTTCTACATAGGGGGTTAGAAACACTCATGTTTGATCACAAACTTATTCAGTCTTATTGCTACCAATGCCATCAAGTGATCATAAATAAATCACAAGAAAATCATGTCTGAATAATATGATGACATTGTGTGATCCAAGATCGAGGGCACATGGAGACTTCCCCGGCAAACCAAACCTACTTCTGATACATAGCTGTACAAACGTGAAGGCATAAATACAGATTTTTGTGGTCAGATATATGGATGATGAATCTGCCACTGCATTGAACCACTTAAACTGGTTTTATGATTGATTTTAGGAGTGCTATATTCAGCCAAGACCAGTGATATCCTCAAGACCTATGCTCATTCACTTGAGGACCTGATGCAAAGTCATGCGCGTCTTTCAGAACAGGTATCGACTTAGTGTTATATTTAGTGGCGTAGAAACGGGGGGGGGGTGTCCCCCATCGAATAGAGAGAAAAGAGGAAAAATAGAGACAGACAGGCAGAGAAGAAAGGAGGAAACTCAATGTGAAAAGTAACACTTGAATAAATCCGACCCTCACTTTATGACCATGTTTTCTATGACTATACTTTCTATTCTATACGGCTATATTTTTTTTATCAGAATCAATCGCACTTCATGAGGGCCCTTTATATAGATGAACATTATAATCTGAAAAGAATGGATAATTCCTAATCCATCGTTATTATCTGTTTTGTTTAAAGAGAGGATTGAAGCATACTGAGGGATCTTTGATGATCTTTGACATGGAGAACCTTGGAGTACATCATCTATGGAAACCTGGTATTGATATTTTCCTCAAGGTGACTATCTTCATTTGTCAATTTTTCATATTTTTTTAATGTGTTTTAATTGATTATTTTGATTGATTTGATTCTATTGTCCTTTTTACTTGAAATCTTCATGGAGAATGAAATCAATATTGTTTCGAAAGGAGGAACTTAATAAGTTTGGCATGATGTTTATGCCTACAACCGAATTCGATTTATATCATTAATAATATGGGGTAGCATAAATTAACGAAAAAGGGGTCTTAAAATATCATCGTTTGGTCAGCAGCCCACTTATGGCGACATCAACAGAGTGCCAAAATTAACAGTTATTTATGATTTTTCTCTGTGCATTAATATAACATGGAAAAGAGGCTCGATTAACCATGTTCCTTGACCGAGGGGCCTTGTCAACACATTGAGGGGGAGGGGGCGAGTGGTGGTGAAACCGGTCTTAGGTCTTAGCGTGTGTGTGTGTGTTTCCCGCTCTCTCAGTTTTTTTGTCCGTTTCTGTGTCTCTCTGTCTGTCTTTCTCTCTTCTCTTATTTTTTTCTTTCGCCTTTTGATGTGGCTTCCTGAAGTCCTGCCCAAGTATATACGCTGCTGATCCTTGACAATTGCGCTATCTGAACACTTTAAAGGGGTTAATTGCTTGAATATCTTCCAAATTCTCATGTTTTATCTTATCGCAGATGGCTGTCCTAGCTGAGCAGCATTATCCTGAGCTCATTCATCGTGTGTACATTATCCGTGCACCCATGGTGTTCCCGGTCGCTTACACCATCTTCAAACCATTCCTACAAGAGGAGACAAGGAAGAAACTACACGTTTTAGGAAGTGAGGTTAAAATTCATAATCGAAAAAGTATAAATTTGGTGATGATGATAAAAATGAACAAACAATGATCTGATGATGATGCCATAATTGTTTGTACTTGACTGTTAAAGGTAATACAAAGTTTTGGTATGGGGTCATGAATTTGGTTCAAATGAACATATTTGAAGCATATGCGATCCTACAATATTCAGTGATCATTGTCGCGGTTGAAATCGAGTCTTAAGTTATGAAATTGTAAATAATAAACTCTTTATGCTGTAAAGCTCCCTCTCAAGTTCAAGATATTAATTCAGCCATAAAACAATGTTTTTTGATTAAATTGACCAATCGGCTATTCCCGTTTGGAAATGACATATCACAACTACATATTCTGAGATTTTCATGGTCGTAGTTACCATTGTATGGCCGTAAGCGCTATTTGAATTTTATCAACATTTACCGAGAGCACCGGTAAATTTTTATATTTAATTTTTCTCGAAAGTAAAAATGTTTCAGGGATTAATTTGTTTAGTGGTTATAATAAATCCACAGGGGCATCCAAATATATCAAAATTGTAAAGAATTATTATCCTGCTTATTTTCAAAATTTCCCAAAACTTTGTATTACCTTTAAGATCAAAGTATTTGGGTTTAGATAATCAACCAGGGGCTACAGTTTCAAGTCCTATCCGAGGGACTTGTCAAAGCTTCCCTTTTGATTGACAAGTTTTACGTGTAATAATTGATTCTCCAATTCTATAAGGGAACATACTTAGTTAAAAATTTGATCTATTCTCAACAATACTTGGGTTTTTATCTAACATTTACAGGTAACTGGAAGGAAGTTTTGTTGAAACAGATAGACCCCGAAGAGCTGCCGGTTTACTGGGGAGGAACCAAGACAGATCCTGATGGAAACGAGATGTGTTCTTTACTGGTAAATCGAGATATCATTTTTAAAGTAGCCCGGAATTCTATTGGTAGGCGATCCAAAATCAATAAATTTTGTATTTTTTCATAGTCATTTTCTTCATGGCTACGTACCATAATATCTCCAAGATTTCATCTCACATGATATTGTATTATCTCACCTGTTGTTACATGGATACTGGATTAATTTTCTCTAAATTTTCCTTTGAATAAACACATGTCAAATTCTTGTATTAGAACAGTTAATTCCAAACTAACTGCCATCTGGTATATTGAAGTACATTGATTTTTTTTTACTGTCTTTGTTGAAGTCCTCACCCCCACGTAAAATAAAACTGCAGGGGAGGGGGGGGGGGGTACTAACGAGAAATGCAAGTGAGGAGGAATTTATTTACATCTATTTGTCAAATGCCTTGTTGATATATTATGTGAGTTAATAATATTTTACCTACTGTTCTCGGCTCATTTTTGTTATGTTCAATTTTTTCCGATGAAACATGGCATAGATCAAGACTGGAGGCAAGATACCCACCTCTTTCTACCTGAAAGACCGGGAGCCGCCCCACACATGGGCTACCCACCAGGTATCTAGGGCAGGAGTCGTGGAATTCGAGTACCAGGTTACAAAACCCAACAGTGTATTGAGGTATTAGGTATAAGTTCCACCAATACAATAGACCAGTTTCCTAACATATTCAAATTTGAGGCATAAGTTTCAAACAATGGTTGTACTTGAAAAACTGAAAGCATACACGGTGCTTGCCAGACACAGCAACAAGTAATGTAAGCAAACTGGGTTCCAAATATTGTAGTTCATTCATTGACCAACAGGTTAATGGAATATCTCGTCACTAGGTTCCCAGGAAATAAATTTCAATAAACTAGAATATGTTAGTAAACCGGTCTATTGTTTCAAAAATGTTGGAGCAGCTCTTTCTTCTGCATTCGTGGGAAATTGACACCTTTCGGGTATTTAGCCTATAACGGACATCAGCCGTGTTCACACGATGGCAATTTGGGTCGGCGTTAAACTAGAGCTAGTCGGCAATAGTATGGTAAGGTCGGCGTAAAGGTCGGAGTAGTGACCGTCTGAACGATAGTCGTGTTAGCTACGCCGACCTTTACGCCGACTGATTTACTCCTGGATTTTTCCAGGAGTAACGCGCTTACACGACAAGAGGATAGCGTAAGTTGACCGTGTGAATGCTCTCACTAGGCACTCGGAGTATATACAAGGGTTGTTTGTTTACAATCGAAAATGAAAATTAGATTTCGTGCGGTTTCGATGCAGAAGCTGGGTTGAAGTCGGCTAGTGCGGGCGACACCACTTCCAGAAGTTATGCTGAGATATAACCCTTTCAAACTGAACAGATAATGAATTTTATAAATAAACGTTAACCTAGCGAAGAGCTATTACATTCACCTGATATTTATGGTTTTTTTGCATCTCAAAAGTCAGAATGCACATCGCATAAAATAGTTGTTGCTAGGTAGGACAAACATTGTAGCTTGACCTACCAAATAGCACGTAGTGTATGCTGTTTGAATTCTGATTATTTCAATACGATTATTCGCAACTACAGGTGAATGAAATAATAAGTATCGAAGTGCTAGCTTATCAAATACTTATGCATCAAATTTGATACATTATGACGATAACATATTATTTGTATGCGACCGTGTGGAGTTAAATGCTGACGCATTGCACACGTGAATAGCTATATCGTTTTGACATGGTCTTTTCTTGCTTTTATTTGGGTATTTTAGGTACGAATTCCAGACAGATTGCAACGACATCAAATTCGGCTTTCATCTCGTGGACTCGAAGGGTAAGAAGACGGCCATTTTGAAACTGGAGAAATACAACAGTCACATGGTACCTGAGAACGGTGAAGTCTTGATAACCAAACCCGGCAAATGTAAGTGGGCGACTGTTTCATTATTTTGATAGTATTTTGCATCATTCCACATTTTCTTCCTTTGCATGAAGCCCATTACACAATAGAAAATAAAAATCGGAAAGTAGAAAGTCGTATGTTCATATATAAATTTTACCTTCATATTGTCGCTTATAAAGGATCGGATTTCTTATTTACAATGAGTCTTTATCTTTTTTGATCACATTTTTAGAGAGCATACAGTTTGTGAATGTATTATAACACCTATATTACCTAACATAAATTACGAAGCATATAATGCGGATCTATAGGCCTACTTGATCGATCTTCTGCTTTTCTTGTTATTGCATCTTTTGCATACTTGGGGCCTATTTAACAACATTTAATTTGTCCCACTTTTCTCCCTTTTACTACCAGGTGTGGTCACATTTGACAACAGTCACAGCTGGATCCAATCAAAGAAGCTCTCCTATTGGCTGGAGCTCTTGGAACCCAGTGACGTCATAGACATGAAGCAAGAATAGCGGGATTGATAGACCTAGAGGAGACATCTGCATATGTAGGCAATAAAATAATAAAACAATAAACCTACTTTTCAAAATTTTGTAGCACATGAGCCTTGAATACCTCGGGATCTTGAATGAAAAGTATGATTTCAACTGATTTTATCAATGATTAAACTTTCCTATCGTTTCCAGTTGATCATTCCTCTTCCGAGTTTAAGTACAACTACACAAGCGTTGGAGAAATGGCTGAAATATGAGTTAATAGTTCCTTAGAAAGAAGATAAGAAAGAAAAGATGAAGGATCTAACTCAATATTAACCAAAAAATTATAACTATAAACTTTGAGTTGCCTTTGTATTTGTTTTCTTCTAGCAAATGGAAGAATGTTTATTTTGTAAAGACATGTATGATGTAATTGATATCTTGCAAATATTAATATATACCTTATATTGAACAAAATTGTTGTTCAATCGAGTTTTCGATTCACTGTGTATTGCTTCACTATTGTCTCCTTATTAATAACAGAAATATTGTGACGATTACTACGTAATATATGATTATGGTATTCTTCCTCACCACTTGCTAATCTTTTTGTTTATAAACTTCCTCTGACTCTGTCCTTAACTGTTTTGTTTTCTGGCACTTTGTTCATACACTGTATATGATTATGTTTACTATTCGGAAAGCAGGATCATGATTTGGAAACCCAAACTGCTCTGATTCGATTGATTAAGTGCAAATAATTGTCATGACTGTACCTCTGATACACAAAATAGTGCACTTCCCTATATCAACTTTGACCCCCTTGCGTTTACAAGGTGGACCTGTATACCTAATTATCAAATAGTTATTGACTCGGTTTTCCCCATCTCTATTTACCTCTCTGCCCCCCTCTCTCTCTCCCTCTCTCTCTCATATTGCTCTCTCCCTTATGCTCTTTCTTTGTCCATCATTATACCGCTTTCAGTCTTCTTATTTTTGCCTCTTTGTTTCTCTCTTCTATGTTGGTGTGTTGAATATAAACATCTACTAATATTTAAAAGAAGAATACAAAAAGGATTCATACTTGCCCTCAATGCCCCATGACAGATACATTACATGATCATATAACATCCATGTAGTATAGCTGTGACAGAAATAAACATTACTCTTCAATTCCTTTATGCCAAGCAGAATATTAATTGCCTCGTGAAAATAAGCTGAGAAATAACTTGGAAATATTAGTTAAATTAAACCAGTCAGTGAATACTTTATATTAAAAAAATTGTGTTCTAAACAAATGAACAGAACAAATGGATTTGTGTGTGAGCCAATGTTTCGGTAAGTATGGGAACATTGTGAATGCATTGTGTGTATGCAATGTGAATAGTAGTATATATTGTAATTGGTAAGCTCAGAAACACCTTTATACTTTCATTATAACACACGTTATTAGAAAAATCAACTTACTATAGATAGTTCAGTCGTCTTCTAATATCCTTCCTTGATAAGAGGGTAGAATAGGCACAGAAAACCAGGAGTAAAACAGTTTCACAAGAACATTATTCTGATTTATAATA